AGTACCTGACATACGTAAACACTTACTACATTTTAGATGTTGTTATTACCATTACTGTTGTTTTTATTGTCACTGCTACTATTATAACAATTACTACTACCATTATACTACTAATACACTACTTTTTTGGACCTAATTTATAGCACAAAGTGGATGTATGGCTTATAAACATTTCTGAGCATGAATTTACTTAATAAAAGAGACAGGGTCTTGCTCTGTCATTCAGGCTGTAGTGCATTGGTGCCATCACTGGTCACTGTAGCTTCAAACTTCTGGGCTCAAGAAATTTTCCCACCTCAGCCTCCGTACTAGCTGGGACTACAGGCACATGCCACCATGCCTGGCTAATTTTTTTTTTTTTTTAATTTTTGGAGAGACAGAGTCTTACTTTGCTGTCCAGGCTGGTCTTGAACTCCTGACTTCAAGTTGATCCTCCTGACTCAGCTCCTAAAGTGCTGGGGTTACAGATATGCATCACCATGTCCAGCTTGCTTTTGAACCTTTGTTTAATCAGAAGTTGCAGAGTTTTTGGAAGTATAAAAAGTGACTGAACCACCTGTAAGAGTTCTTGAAAAATGATAGAGGAAATGCTAATGAGACTTTAAGGCAGAGATCAAATAGACTAGGAGAGCAAAAGGAATCTCTTCTGTAATGCCGATAGAGAACTTTGAAAGAAGCAAAGAAAAAAAATTGCAAATGGGAAGAGTAAATGAAACACCATTGGCTTAATCAAATAGAATCTTGGTTGTGGATAATTGACAAGCAGACATAAAAATGAAAGAGCATAACATAGGAAATATGTGTTACCACTATAAGCAGTGTACAGCAAGGTATTGGGGAAATGAGTTAAATAGTTAAAAAGGTAAGAATCTGTGATTCTTAATATTGAGACCATGACTCAGATAATGGGGTGTATTATAGCATTTGTTGTGTAAATTCAAAGAATCACAGAAAGGGAATACATGAGAAGTAAAACAAACAAAAAAAACCTATTGAGAAAATATGCATGAGTATAAATCCACACTAGCTTCATCACGGTGGGAGCAAAAAGTTAAAGTACCATCACTCTTCAAGCACAAACCAAGTATTATATGTGGTTCTCAGAATCGTTTAATCATTGAACTCCTGAAACATTGCATCTAAGAATTAGATTGCTAATTTTTAAAAATAAGAAAATACATTTAGGTTGTATTAAAAGATGTTAATGTCAGAATACCAAATGTTATTTTCTGTACAACTAGGTTTAAAAAAAAAAACAATAAAACACCATTTCATATTCTTATACGTTATTTTTAATATCTCCTTACTATTTTATTCTTTTGAACCAAGCTTAAAATTAAAAAAAAAACAAAACTCAGTTTCATTTTGTTGGGCGTTTAGAGGATATTCCTATCCTTACAGATAAAACTTGAATTGTACCCATTCTTCAGGATTAATTCAAATCCTAAGAATGGCAGATTACTTGAATTTCTATATTCATTCTTTAATCATCATTTTATATAGTTCACACTGATCAATAACAATAGATTTTTTTTAACCTAGAATTCGTTTGTACCTAAAACAAATAGTTTAAAAGTTGGTTTAGGTCACTCTATCTTTTTTTTTTTTTGCACTACTAAATCTTTTTCCTAGTGTCATATAAAATTGACTATGAAAAGATTTTCAGAAATGATCCTTAATGTCTCTTCTGCTGGGTGACCAGTATATTCTCTTAGTGACACAGTGCCCTGGTTTACTATTTCTTCTTCATGTGTACTGTGAGAGCCACTTTAAGTCAAAGAAGGAAAAATATTATTAGATAATAAAGTGTCCAGGATATCAGTAAAGAAAGCTTGACATTTGTCATTATAAATGGCCTCTGCTACTTTTTCTTTCCCATTGTCGATAAGCTTGGACAATAGAAAGCATTTTTCCCCATCTTTCCCGTCTACTCACTGTTCCCTGTCAAGAGATGATTTTGAAAAATGTTAAAATTATATTTAAATCAGTTGAACTTTAAAAAATGTTTTATTTTTGTCTGTGAATAGACTG